ATTTTAAAGTTAATTATTTTATATTTTAATCATTTAATGTAAAATATTTATTGCTATATGTTGTTGTAGCTTCTTGTATTTTTTTTTGAATTTTTATTGGATTTAGATCCTCTCCGCCACACAAAAGTAGTAGAAAGACCACTACAAAAAATAATGGATATGTCACATCTATATCGTAAATTTATTTAATGAATGGTCGTGATTTCACTTGGAGTGCAAATTATGAAATGAGTAAAAATTATGGAGTAATGGTGAGTCTCAGACTTTAAATGAATTATAACCATCTACTAAACAAATCAACAGCCATGATTAATATAATAGTATCTCCTCTTCTTTTTTTTAATATGGTAAACATGATCTAAAATCATCTTTGTTGTAAGTATTTAAGTACACTCTTAGTTTTAAACCAGAATCTATTTGTTATTGTGGTATTAAACCGAATTCTTAAACTATTATTTTTTAATTTTTATGCCAACGTCGAGGCATGGCGATAGTCAATTTTACTATATTACCCTAAACTGAATGTGTCTTTGAATTTGCTAGAATTATAACCACCTACTTGATAAATCAACAGCTATAATTAATATAGTGTCATCTCCACTATCTTTTTAATATAGTAAAGAGGATTTAAAATAACTTTTATTGTCAGTATTTAAGTACACTTATAGTTTTAAACCAAATTCTTTTTTGTTATCGCAATTTTAAACCAAATTCTTAAACCGATATTTTAATGACAAAGTCGAGGCATGGCTATAGTCAATTTTACTGGATTACCCTAAACTGAATTTGTCTATGAATTTGCTAGGCCACACAAATTTATTCCAATAGTATATGTAATTTGATAAACTCTCTATTTGATAACTAGCATCAACATCAATACACCCAAATATTTACCCTATTTATGTTTAAACTTACCCACTTCTAGAAGCACTCTTAACTCAAAATTGTCATACTGCTAAAATTTTCATTTTGGGACTTTCACAGTACCTATACATTGTTCATTCCAAAAAGTTTAGTTCAAATAAAAAATATAGAATAAGGGGTATTTTTTATTATAAACCTGTTCAAAATCATATAAGATACATATCATAAAAATTAAATTTACCTGTTCAAACAGGTGTGGGTAGTCGCGTCGCAAATCCTCTTCGCGCTCCCAAGAAATCTCCTCAATACCTCCTCGGTTCCATTGAACTTTCACCATGGGAATTACCTTATTCCTGAGTCTCTTGTCCTCCCTGGCAAGTATACAAGCTGGAATCTCAATAGTAGTCAAATCCTCCTGAAGCTCAATCTCTGGTGTATCCAATACTCGTTGCTGCTCCTCATCATGCAAGTGTTTCTTGAGCATAGAAACGTGAAACACATTGTGTATACTAGACATCGATGCTGGAAAATCTAGTCTGTATGACACAACTCCAATGCGCTCCAAAATCTGGAATGGCCTAATATATCTCGGCGCAAGCTTCCCCCGTCGTCCGAATCGCTGCACGCCCTTCATAGGCGATACCTTCAACATAACTGAATCCCCAACCTGAAACTCCAAGGGTCTTCGCCTCTTATCTGCATAGCCCTTTTGCTGACTATGAGCGGCTAGAATCTGCTCCATGATCAATGCTACCTTCTCGGTAGTCTGCCTCACCAGCTCCGGTCCAAGCATCAAGCTATCCTCCGGCTCTGCCCAACATATTGGTGATCTACAGGGTCTCCCGTACAATGCCTCATACGGAGCCATACCGATTGTCGCTTGATAACTGTTGTTATAAGCGAACTCTATCAATGGAATGTGATCCTCCCAACTGCCTTGAAAGTCAATGACACAAGCCCGCAACATATCTTCCAACACCTGATTCACTCTCTCTGTCTGACCATCCGTCTGTGGGTGGAAAACACTGCTGAATGATAGTCTGCTGCCAAAAGAGTCCTGAAAACTCCTCCAAAAGTGCGAAGTGAACACCGAACCTCGATCCGATACAATCGTGTCTGGAACTCCATGAAGTCGGACTATCTCCCGGATAAATATCCTCGCATATGCCTCGGCAGTATAGGTAGTCCTCACTGGAATGAAATGGGCCAACATTGTCAACTGGTCCACTATCACCCAAACAGAGTCATTCCCCTTCTTCGACTTCGGCAACCCCACAATAAAATCCATGGAAATGTCTGCCCACTTCCACTCTGGAATAGGCAAAGGCTGAAGGGTCCCTGCCGGTCTCTGATGCTCTGCCTTCACCTGCTGACAGGTAAAACATCTAGCCACATAGTCTGCAACCTCTCTACGCATACCTCTCCACCAGAAATGTCTCTTCAAGTCCTTGTACATCTTGGTGGTCCCTGGATGCACTGTGTACTGTGTGTACTGAGTACGGTGTGCCTCATCAAATAACTCTCTCTTCAGCTCTGCACTGGCTAGCATAACCAATCTACCCTTCATCCGTAGACCTCCATCAGTCCCAATGGTCCAATCAGTCTTAGGCTCTTTGGAAATCTCCTCCTTTCGGATTTGAATCCAAGAGTCTCCCAACTGAGCTCTGACAACTCTGTCACTCCAAGATGGCTGCACTGTCATAGCTTCCAAAAATGCACCGGTTCCTCCAATCTCGGGTCTAAGGGCATCTCCAACCCTTTGCCTCAAAATGGTGCAAATTTTGCACCAAAATGGTGCAAAAGTCACATCTAACAGTAATTCATCTCCAACCCATTGCACCATTTTTTGCACCAAAAAGGAATATTCTCAGTATCTTTCTTTTTATCTACTTTTATATGATTATTTTTTATTCCCTATATTTTTAACTATTTCAACAATTAACCCCACATATCAAATTTTATTTTTTCACATATTTTCCAAAGCTTTCACACAATTCAAGGAGAGCTGAGCTGTGTATACGTTGGACAATGTGTAAAGCTGACCTGATTTTAAAAATTGATTCCCACTCGTACAAAGCTTTCACACAATTCAAGGAGAGCTGAGCTGTGTATACGTTGGACAATGTGTAAAGCTGACCTGATTTCAAAAATTGATTCCCACTCGTACAAAGCTTTCACACAATTCAAGGAGAGCTGAGCTGTGTATACGTTGGACAATGTGTAAAGCTGACCTGATTTTAAAAATTGATTCCCACTCGTACAAAGCTTTCACACAATTCAAGGAGAGCTGAGCTGTGTATACGTTGGACAATGTGTAAAGCTGACCTGATTTCAAAAATTGATTCCCACTCGTACAAAGCTTTCACACAATTCAAGGAGAGCTGAGCTGTGTATACGTTGGACAATGTGTAAAGCTGACCTGATTTTAAAAATTGATTCCCACTCGTACAAAGCTTTCACACAATTCAAGGAGAGCTGAGCTGTGTATACGTTGGACAATGTGTAAAGCTGACCTGATTTCAAAAATTGATTCCCACTCGTACAAAGCTTTCACACAATTCAAGGAGAGCTGAGCTGTGTATACGTTGGACAATGTGTAAAGCTGACCTGATTTTAAAAATTGATTCCCACTCGTACAAAGCTTTCACACAATTCAAGGAGAGCTGAGCTGTGTATACGTTGGACAATGTGTAAAGCTGACCTGATTTCAAAAATTGATTCCCACTCGTACAAAGCTTTCACACAATTCAAGGAGAGCTGAGCTGTGTATACGTTGGACAATGTGTAAAGCTGACCTGATTTTAAAAATTGATTCCCACTCGTACAAAGCTTTCACACAATTCAAGGAGAGCTGAGCTGTGTATACGTTGGACAATGTGTAAAGCTGACCTGATTTCAAAAATTGATTCCCACTCGTACAAAGCTTTCACACAATTCAAGGAGAGCTGAGCTGTGTATACGTTGGACAATGTGTAAAGCTGACCTGATTTTAAAAATTGATTCCCACTCGTACAAAGCTTTCACACAATTCAAGGAGAGCTGAGCTGTGTATACGTTGGACAATGTGTAAAGCTGACCTGATTTCAAAAATTGATTCCCACTCGTACAAAGCTTTCACACAATTCAAGGAGAGCTGAGTTGTGTATACGTTGGACAATGTGTAAAGCTGACCTGATTTTAAAAATTGATTCCCACTCGTACAAAGCTTTCACACAATTCAAGGAGAGCTGAGTTGTGTATACGTTGGACAATGTGTAAAGCTGACCTGATTTCAAAAATTGATTCCCACTCGTACAAAGCTTTCACACAATTCAAGGAGAGCTGAGCTGTGTATACGTTGGACAATGTGTAAAGCTGACCTGATTTCAAAAATTGATTCCTACTCGTACAAAGCTTTCACACAATTCAAGGAGAGCTGAGCTGTGTATACGTTGGACAATGTGTAAAGCTGACCTGATTTTAAAAATTGATTCCCACTCGTACAAAGCTTTCACACAATTCAAGGAGAGCTGAGCTGTGTATACGTTGGACAATGTGTAAAGCTGACCTGATTTTAAAAATTGATTCCCACTCGTACAAAGCTTTCACACAATTCAAGGAGAGCTGAGCTGTGTATACGTTGGACAATGTGTAAAGCTGACCTGATTTCAAAAATTGATTCCCACTCGTACAAAGCTTTCACACAATTCAAGGAGAGCTGAGCTGTGTATACGTTGGACAATGTGTAAAGCTGACCTGATTTCAAAAATTGATTCCCACTCGTACAAAGCTTTCACACAATTCAAGGAGAGCTGAGCTGTGTATACGTTGGACAATGTGTAAAGCTGACCTGATTTTAAAAATTGATTCCCACTCGTACAAAGCTTTCACACAATTCAAGGAGAGCTGAGCTGTGTATACGTTGGACAATGTGTAAAGCTGACCTGATTTCAAAAATTGATTCCCACTCGTACAAAGCTTTCACACAATTCAAGGAGAGCTGAGCTGTGTATACGTTGGATAATGTGTTAAGCTGACCTGATTTCAAAAATTGATTCCCACCGACAACGTTGGATAATGTGTAAAGCTGATCAGTTTGTACAAAATGATTCAATTTCAAATGTTGACCACCGACAAATTCAAACCAACCGCAAATTCAAATTCAAACAAAAAAAACAAATTTGGATTGGCTATAAATAACATTCATGAGTTCTACTTCAAACCACCCAATTCGAAGTATTTCTGATCTCCAAACCAACCACTTTTTACAAAAAATGTCTGTTCGATCAACTGGGTACACGGTTACTGAAGATGTGCTCCTTTGTCAAGTATTCTTGGATATTTCTCAAGACCCTATTATCGGTAGAAACCAGTCTCGAGATGCATTTTGGTCTCGTGTGGAGGACAAATACAATGAACTTCGAGATCAGCATTTTGAGATGCGTACGAGCCGATCAATTCGTTCTCGAATGGAAATTATAAGTAATGAAGTAAGGAAATTGAATGCGTGCTTGAGACAAGTAGAGAATCTGAATCCAAGTGGTGCTTCAGATGAAGATATTGTAAGTATTCTATTAATTATCGTTTGAATTTTATTATTATTGTTGAAATACATAACTTGATGTTCACTATAATTTACAGTTAGTTCGAGCAAAGATGTTATTTATGCAAGAACCGAAGTACAAAAAAGGTTTCAAATTTGATCATGTCTGGAATATGGTTAAAAATTTCGAAAAATTCAAAGATGATGTCCCCACAGCAAGACAAGTTGGTCGAAGACAATCCCAAAGTGTGAACTTCGACTCGTCACAATCAGATAATCCCACTCCGGAATCTCCTATATCAACATCTCCTGGATTGTCATCATTTACTCCATCTGAATGACCTATTGGGGTAAAAAAAGCTAAATTGAAAAGGAAAAATGATGATCATGAGTCAAGTGTAGTAGACTCCATCGAGACCTCCAACAATCGACTTATAGACAGGTTAGACAAGGCGAGCTTGGACAGGCAAGAAGCATTTGATATCGAACGAGAAAAGATAGCCATGAAAAAAGATAGAGATGAATGGAAAATTATAATGAAAGATTTGAATTCCATTGCTGATCCAAACGTGCGTGAGTACGTTCGAGCTCAACAGATTAAAATAATACAAAAAAGAAATCAACAAGAACAAGGGTCTGCTTCTAATTTTGGCAATTATTTTAATGATATTGGACACTCTGGCCCCGATCTACCAGATTATTGAGAGTTGCTTGTCCATCTTAAGTAACGTCACCATGTTTAGTTTGTATTTTATGTTTTATTTTAATGAAGTTTTATATTATGTGTGTCAGTTTTTATATGTTATGTATTTCAGATATGTAATTTATATTTGAATTATGTATTATGATTGCTCTTTAATGAAGTTTTATATTATGTATGTCTAGATTTTAATATTATAATTAATAATAATGTCTGTTAAATTTTAGCATTTTTTTAATTTAAAAAAACCATAATTTATTTTGTCCACATTATACAATTGGGGTGAAATTATAAAATTTAAATATTATTAGGGTTGTTTTATATATTTAATGAAACAATTGGGGACAAATTGTAAATATATAAAAGTATGAGGTTTAAAAAAAATTTGAAAAATAAAAAAATAAAAAAAACAGTAATGGGGGATGAACAGTGCGACGCCATATATAGCGTCGCGCTGTTCATCCCCGTCAAAATGCGGCAACAAATGCCGCTCGATTGGAGCTCCCACGCAGCGGCATTTTCCCTTTTCGCCTCAAAATGCCGCTGCGTTGGAGATGGTCTAAAATCAAACTGGTTAAGAGTGATAAGATCCCGATGCAGTGAACACCTCAAAGCAGAAATCCGATGTCGACGCTTCCCGCTTAAGGCATCTGATACGACGTTCGCCTTCCCCGGATGATACTGAATCGCGAACTCGTAGTCCTTGATAAACTCAACCCACCTCCTCTGTCTCTGATTGAGTTCCCTCTGAGAAAAGAGGTACTTCAGACTATAATGGTCTGTGAACAACTCAAACTGCACTCCATATAAGTAGTGCCTCCATGACTTCAGTGCAAATACCACTGCTGCTAACTCCAAATCATGAGTGGGATAGTTCTGCTCATACACCCTCAACTGCCGTGAGATATAAGCTACTACCCTCTGAGTCTGCATCAATACGCCTCCTAAGCCTGCCAACGATGCATCTGTATATACTACGAATGTCCTGTCACTGCTCGGAATAGTCAAAACCGGCGCTGTAGTCAACTTAGTCTTCAAAATATCAAAGGCCTTCTGGCACTCCATGCTCCATATGAACTGTACACCCTTCCTCGTAAGGTGTGTAGTCCTGAATGAACTTCCTATAATATCCAGCTAGACCCAAAAAGCTGCGAATCTCTGTCACCGTCTTCGGTGGCTCCCAATCAAGAACTGCCGTGACCTTGGCCGAGCCCACTGCTATGCCCTCTCTACTGATGACGTGGCCAAGAAATCTAACTTCTGAAAGCCAAATTTTGCACTTGCTGAACTTAGCATACAGCTGATGCTCCTGCAGAGTCCTCAACGCTATCCGTAGATGCTCCTCGTGATCTGCCTCCGATCTCGAGTAAATGAGAATATCATTGATGAAAATGATCACGAACTGATCTAAGAAAGGACGGAAAACCCGGTTCATCAAGTCCATGAATACTGCGGGTGCATTGGTCAACCCAAATGGCATGACCAAGAACTCAAAAGATCCATATCTAGTAAGAAAGGCGGTCTTGGGAATATCCATCTCCCGAACCCGCAACTGATGATAGCCAGAACGAAGATCAATCTTCGAGAAATACTGCGCTCCCTGCAACTGGTCAAACAAGTCATCAATCCTAGGTAGTGGGTACCTATTCCGGATAGTGACCTTGTTCAACTCTCTATAATCTATGCATAATCTCATACTACCGTCCTTCTTCTTCACGAAGAGGACCGGCGCGCCCCACGGAGAATGACTCCGGCGAATAAAGCCCTGAGCTAACAACTCGTCCAACTGGGTCTGAAGCCGATGCGATAGGGTGCGCGGGATATCGGGGCCGTGCCTGGCTGCAACTCAATACAGAACTCTACCTCTCTCACCAGAGGTAATCCAGGTATGTCCTGAAAGACGTCCTGATACTCTGAGACAACTCTAGTCTCTAATAACTCAGCACCCTGATCCCGTCGCATCACCTCCTCGATGTACGCCAGAAATGACTCTGCAAATCGGTTGCCCTGAGAGGTGGCTACAATCATCTCGGACCCATCGGTCGCTCGCAACTTGACTGTCTTCGCAAAGCAGTCAATACTACTATGATAGGAAGACAACCAATCCATACCAAGAATGACATCGAACTCAGACATATGTAACACAATCAAATCAACTATGAACTCCGACTCGTCTAAACTGACGGTACACCTCCTACAAACGCTCTCCAGAAGCGATACCTCACCTAAAGGGGTGAAAACAGATAAATGGGTGTCTAGAGGCTGAGCTACGAGCTGGAGTCTAGCCATAAATGCATGCGATATGAAGGAATGCGAAGCTCCCGAATCGAAAAGAATACGGGCGAGAAAGGAATTCACAAAGAACATACCCTCTACAACTGCTCCGCTGGCACCGTGATCACGGGGTACCACTGCATAAACTCTGCCTGTAGCTGAAGTCTGCTCTACTGCTAATGCTGGAGAGTATGGAACAATCTGCCCCTGGGGAGCCTCCTGGACTGCCCTCAGTCCTCTGAGCTGCTGGCGGTGCCTCGAGCCTGTTCTGCTGGCCCTAACCTCTGGTGACCCTGCTGCTGGTTTGGACCCTTGCCCTGCTGGGCTCCTGCTGGTGCGCTACGACACTCTGATGCCTTATGCCTGACCTTGTGACAGTTAAAGCAAGATCCCTGGAACTTGCGCTGCTGATGCGCTCTCTGATCCTGCTGGGATCCCTTCTTATAAGAACCCTGATGCTGCTGCTGATGTCCAGAAAAAGATTTCTTGTTCTTGCCTTTGTCACCGCTCTGCCCTGCCTTGGTCTTCCCTTCCTTATCCTTCTGGAACATGCTGGTCTCAATCTCCTGAGAAGTGGCAGCCTCAGCTACCTCCCTAACTGAATAAAACCTCCTCGACACGAGGTACCGTCGGAGATTAGGGCGAAGCCCTGCTAAGAACATCTGAGCCTGACGCTCTCCCGTCTGCCACATGCCCGTGAAATATAGCAACTCCATGAATCGGCTCTTAAAATCTGCCACTGTCATGTCCCCCTGAGTCAATCGGGACAACTCAAGCTCCTTCCCAGTCCGTGCTGCAGAAGAAATGTACTGCCCATCAAAGAAGTATATGAAGTCCTCCCAGGTGAGGGTCATCCTCTGCTCTGGGGTAAACTGTAGTCAGTACCATCTCTCAGCATCTCCCTTCAGACTGTAGGATGCCGACCTCTGCTTCTGAACTGAATCCACACTGAGTATATCAAGAATGTTGCCCACATCCTCCTTCCGCTTATGAGCTGCAAGAGGGTCTGGTGATCCCTGAAACTCTGGTGCCTTCATCTTCTGGTATCTCTCTACCATGCGGAGCCAAGCCTCCTGCTCTGTGGCTCTATCTAGGACTGCTAAAGGAATGGCTGCGGGTGTGATCCCTGGAGATCTCTCTCTGACAGGAACGGCAGGTATCCCCTGCTGCTGAGCTACCGGTGGTGGTGGTGTCCGTGGTGTTATATGAGAGCCATGATGTCCACCAAATCCTGAGGAGCCTGCTGCGGTTCGGGTGGAGCCTGCTGAGGCTCGGACTGAGCTGGCTGCTGCTCTGATGGAGTCTGCTGTGACTCTGCCTCGCTAGCTCTCCTGGTACGAGGTTTACCACGTCCTGCCATCTATCTCTCCCTTTCTCTCTGGTGAGAAGAAAAATAAAGTTTATGAGTCAAAACAGACCTTTATAAATAACGTATCACATTGAAATTTTCACAACATATAGTATTCACACAAATACTTTGAATGATATACCCATATATCGTCCTCACTCATAGTAGGAAATCATTAGCGGACTCTATACATGAATCCTAAGAAACTCTATCCTAGCTCCACGACTCGACACAGGATGATCCTAAGGATACTGGAACTAGAGCTCTGATACCAACTGTGACGCCCCTGGGTTCACACAAGGCTGCAGTCCAAGGTGAAACCAAGAATGTCAAACCTGCCATGCACCACACCGAACAATAACATGTTTCACCATCACAATTCTATCACTCTAGTAGAGTCAATAACAGGTGTAGGTACAAAAGCAAGTAAGAGATGATACAAGAGATAACTGATGAAATGATAGAGATCAAAATAATATTTCATCATTCAACATACAGAAATACAAAGTCAATGTCTGAAATGAATAAACTGGGGTTCTTACAAGTCTCAAGTACAACAAGTCTGAGTAAAGGAAATAAGGCACACAGCCTTTACAACATCTAGAATAAAGTCCTCAAATGTCTAAACAAAGTCTACAGTGGAGCTCCATAAATAAAATATATCTAAATAGACAGATGAAGCTAAAGTACATCGCCATCAACCTGCGACTCTCCGAGCTCCTGGCTCGTTACCTGAAAGGGGGAGGGACAACGAGCGTCAAAGCGCTAGCGAGCAACATCACAACCAACCCCAAGGGAAAGGGCTCGTTGTATACAGAAAGTACAGTTAACACAAATCATATATGTATAAATAATTGTCCTAAGAATAAGGGGGTATTAGTACTTAGGAAATTCCAACACGAGCATAGGTACGTCGAGCAACTCCATGAATCGGCTCTTAAAATCTGCCACTGTCATGTCCCCCTGAGTCAATCGGGACAACTCAAGCTCCTTCCCAGTCCGTGCTGCAGAAGAAATGT